TTCCACCACCTGGTTCAGATAATAAAGCATTCATAACATTTAATGATATGAATGCTTTAACATCTAATGTTATTTGTTTGCTATTACCAAGTCGGTCATCAAAGTTTGACAAGCACAAGAGAGGAGCAGCTTCCTAAAAATAAACATACGATTAACATCTGTCAAAGGATTAAATTTTAATCTGATTAGTCATAAGGTGAACATTGCTGGAACAGAAACACAAATACTAGCAGTCAGTGTTTCTTCCCTGTTTTTATCTGTGACTAATCCAGATGATGAAATTATGAATCTGTTAAAATCTTAGTGAAAATAGAGTTGGTGTGTTTCAGTCGCTACTGTTCATCTTGATGGTGTTTTGCAGCACGTGTGAAGAGTTCCTTTCAAAAATTCGGTCCAGTCCTCAACAATATTAATCAGTCTACAGTCTTTCCCACACTGTGTGTAAATAACGCACATCAGCTGTGTATGAGCAACGCCAAGTGAATGGAGAGTGAAATGATTGGATATAAAATGGACCTCATTCTATCAGTGTGTTAAACTACATTCAAAATGTTAATACATTTCACAAATTAATCAATACAAGTAACAGATTGATTTTCACAGCCCTACATTATACACAGATATTACTTTCAGCATGATAAGTAGTGCATTTGCACTCTTTTAACTGTTACCAGTATTTGAATTATAATTATTTCAGCCCCACTAAACAGGTTTTGTTGCATCTGTTCATTTGAGGTTACAAGCCAATACAAGTCTTTTGAAAATGATCACATGTGATGCCTCATTGATTCACTGGAGTTCAGCTGCCATTTCAATTCCCAAACCCTGACATCACTATGGAAAAGATGAACACACAGTGTATTTCATTTGCATCCAACCACTGATGATTTACACAAATACTCAGCAATAAACTACAGCAGTGTGTACTATCTTCTTTTAAATCAGTTTTTGCATTGGCTAATTCTGCACAGCACTGCCTACTGATTCCATTCACTCCCCCAGGCTTCTGTTGGCCTGCAGGTTATATGTATTGCTTAATACATTGGCTGAGTTTACCTATTTAGCACAGTCATAGACGACATCACGTGAACTGACTACACACAACCATTACAGAGCCCTGGATGATCAAGTTATACAGAAAGGACATTTGTGCAAAGTCCCATGCGTCCCATGTGTTAACATAGGTCTAGACTGTAGGGAGAAAACCCACAAGTGTTCTTCTTTTAGAAGGCAGTTCCATAAAGAAGGTTCAAAAGTTCAAAAGACAAGGTAAATGTTCTAAATACGGTGGGGCTTCAAGATACAAGCTACATGCAAGATTTTGAGTTACGAGTGCTCAACCGAGCTCCATTTTTCCACTCGACACTGTCAAGCTGTCTCTCTCACTGTCCCTCGCTGGGTTATTTTACCCATTGCTTTACACTGTAACAAACCTGTTCTTAGTGGATACATAACATATGACAACAAAACCAAACCAATGTCCTTAGTCTGTAGCTTAATCTATTTATCTTTAAATTTAGTTTGACAAAATCTACAATGTTTATTGAAAATCCTTTAACAGTGATTAATGGTTCTTTAGGGAAAATGAAAAAAAAAATCACAAATCAAATTGGTTGCTTTATCTTTTTGATTGGCTTTGTTTTAGTGATAACTGTGTTCATTTACAGTCAATGATTGTGTTGTAGAGCTTGCTATGGCTACAATACGTCATTCACAAGTCTAAAATAAAGTGAGAAAAATGATGAATCACCACACGCATGACCTCATACCCAGCCTCACAGAGTACAGAGGTGACTGAATTCTACATTTTTTTTAAAACTAAACTTAAAATTCTTGTCAAAGAAACTTTTGGAAATGACCTTGGAAACTCAAAAGTAATGTGCAGTCAGAAAAGTTTTACAGCTGGTGAAGAGCAAACTGAGCATGACCACTGAACTCAACCAGGAAGTTGGTTAAAATTATCAGCACCATAAAAAGGCAAACTGGCACCAAAGCTTTCCATGAAGTAAACCACCAGCTCCGAGGGGAGGGCACAATATAAAGATCAACTTCAAGACCTGGAGGGGGGGGGGCAAGGCTTCTGTGCACTCTGACACTCATGAGCACATGAGATATGCCCTACATGGGCAGGGAACTGACTGGCTCAGTGTTCAAATGAAAACAGCAAGGCTGCAGGTGTAACCGTCGGAGGAGGAGAGACGAGGACAGATAAAGGAGAGACAGGGAGCACAGACAGGGGAGGAGGAGCAAACACAAGAAAAGCCCGGCTTCTGTGTGTCAGAGGGACACACCCGTGGCGTGCTCTGAAAGCCCGTCATTACGGAGGCTCACAAATGATAGCTCTACTCAAACAACTGGCTGAGCAGCAAAACTTTAGACTCCACAGACTAAATGGCTAGAAACTAATTCTGGGCAGGAAAATGAAACGTACAACTTTACTATTTTTTCCCTTACCCCACAAACCTTCTTCTGAGAGTCGGCAGAGGGGACATTTTTGAGCAGGCAGCTTGTCCAAACTTGTTCATAATCTCTTCAATCTCTGTTCCAGCAGGTCAGAACAGAAATACCTTAAGGGGTTTTTTACAGAAAAGACTTTGCAAGGCAAGTCCATAATGTACTGAAGTTCACCAATCAGCTGAGAGGATCAGCTCTCAGAAATTTCAGGTAATGTGTCTGTCTGTTCTGGTGTAGCGACTAGAACCTGCACTCATGCCGTAAGGAGATCATGATGACATCGTAAGCCAGCAGGTGAGGGACCCACTGAGGCAGATTTGGTCTTGCGGAGTTTTTTGGAACCCACTCACACTGGAGAACAGTAGTGTATGTGTTGCAAGTCCAGGGACTAAATAGTGAAGTAACACACAGACCTGCCACCCTACCACACCCACACAACGAGACCCACATAACAGGTTCTTGCCTTTGTCCCTCACTGCTGCTATTGCTCCACCGCCCCAGATTCTGTCTCCTTTCTTCAACTCACACACCACATCAAAGGACTGAAACATAATCCAGCACATTTTCACTATAGACACACAAAAAACAACACACAAAACAGTTTAATAACACAAAAGTTCCCCAAAGGCTGTTTGTGTTCCCCAGCATATCCCATAATATATTCAAAAGGCATTTAAAAAATTCAAATACATTTTTCTCTTTCACATATATATCTGATTATCAAAGACATGCAAACTTGAAATTTTTTTTCTACACATTTTGATCTAGGCCATGATTAAACTGATCAGTATCTACCATATGTCACAAACCATCAGTTTATCAAATCACCACTTTGTTCAATCTGTCTGTGTAAAAGGGAAGTGAAATTGGGTGCTCTGAAAACACCCCCATTAGCACCTGGTACTTTCATCCAGATCAAATTAACACACACACAAAAATAAATATATATATAAACAACCAATAAATCAACCAGTCTCCTAGGAGATTACAGCGTAGAGTTTAATTAAATTTTGCTACGTAACTCAAATCTTCTCGGTGACCAGAGAAAAGTACCGTAAATTAGTCTAAGCTTCAGTCTCCAAGCTTTAGAGAAGTGTTCAGAACATTCATGTTCTACAGCATCAGCACCAAGAGTTTCTTAACATCTGGACTTATCGAGCAAGTAGGCCAAGACTTCTCCAACAGGTGAGTCTCAGTGGCCCTCCAAACAGACCCTAAATCGGTTTCCATGGAACACACCATGCACCAACATAAATCACCTTGATCATTTTCCTTAGTCAGGGATCAGCATAGAAAAGTATTTCATACAGTAAACCCAAACTTTTTACTCTTGACGCCCTTTCTAACCCAAAAACTTACTGTAATCTGCATTGGTGTTAAAAAATAGGCACACACCACGCCCTGCACGTGCATACAACACCAGCTTAACACAGAAAGATGTACCCCTAGATAAATTAACATGACTTACAACTGTCAAAGAGTCAGAAGACACAGGTCTAAGTGAAAGATGCTATGAGGACATATTTGCAAGGACTAAACCTGGAGCATCTTAATACTGGAGGATTTCTCTTTTAAATAGTAAAAAGTAGAAAAAGAAAAAGACCCTGTCTTCAGGTGGCAGATGGGGCTCCTACCTCTCTGCCCTTGAAGTTCCTTAGCTACAGTAGTTTTCATACATATGACGAAAGCAGCAGATACCAGACAGCACTCATGGAAACGTGTTTTTAAATGCAAAGAACACATAATCTCTCTGCAGAGCTGTGTTTATGTCAAGTTGTCTATGATTTTACCACTGCACAGAATTCCAATGAGCCACATTCTACTGTGTTACAGTAGAAGTATGTAAATCTGACTGCAATATTTGACACTAATGGCGCATTTTTCCTGCCATCCTTCTGCACAGTCAATGTCCACGCATTACTGTCCGTGGACAGTGGGTGTCAGAGGTACAGTACAAAATAGGACATTGATAAGGATTCAGGTTTGGACTTTGACTCTAGAGCTCAGGTTTGAGAGGTGGTGGATTGACCGACCGCTCACTTCCGTGTCCTTTCACCTGTCCCGAAACCCACGGGTAGAAAGAGACAGCAACTGCAGCCAAGTCAAATGAAACCTCAGCGGTTTCAGTGTGACTGAAAGCATGGATGAGATCACACTCACTCAAAGACCTTATAAAGATTCACCTCACAGTCACCAACAAACCACCAGCAGCACGTAATAAGCCGATACACGTCGTCCAGGTAAAATGACGTTGTCTGCAAACACTACAGCAGTAACTGCTAAAAAGCTGCTTCATATGCGTGTACAAGTTTCCTATAAGTTTTCCAAGTTCCACTCACTGTGACATATTCATCACCAGCCACCATTTACGACGCCGCATTAGTTTGCGCTGCGGTAGCTGCTAACATGCTAACGCTGCGATACGACAGAGAAGAGTTTGCAGAAAAGGAAACACACAAATGAACAAATCCCACCCGCTTCTTCCGCCCACAGCAGCTTGACTCCATGTGAACGGAGTCTAAAAACACCAAAATACATATATTTACCGATTTTTTGGAGATGGTTAGTCTTGTTTTCCAAAGTCCATAAGTGTTTAATGAACCAGACTCGGGCCTAGCTTAGCTCAGCCTGGCAGACTGACTGCTGCTGAAGCTTTAGTCCAAACCTCCACCCACAGCCTCCGTGCTGGAGAAAAACGTTCTGTTTTTCCTTAATTATCACTTCCCTCCGATCCAGTTATCAATGTGATACTGAGCAAAGACAGGGTCCACGACCACCAGCAACTGCTGCAGTGTCAGAGAGACAACGTTTACAATGAAGAAGACGGAGAAAACACCCACCTATGCAATTTCCTCCTCGGATTGTTGTTCACTT